TTCTTTGTATTATTTGAACAACCTTCTAAAACCAATATTTAATCTTATAAAGTCATTTTCAAATTCAACAATGTTTTCAGATGAAATATCTCTCAGCTATAGCAGTATATCATTTGAACTATCTGATATTAATATCTTCTTATATATTCAATAAATATTTTTAATAAAAAATTCTCTTGCATATTATAGATAATATTATAGATAATATTTATATTTAATTGTATAACACAGATCTATAATATATACTTAAATAGTAGAACATATTATAAAAATATTTACATATATTTAATTATATTTCTGTCCAAATATTAATCAATATTAATTTTGTTACAGATACTAGCACATGCTTATTAATCCAAGAAATAACATCTTTCCCAAAGTACAAAAGCGAAAATCTGGATCTGTATCCTGCGGTTTCATTAATGTCGTGAACTTATTAGGTCGCAGCCCTGCTGAGTCTTAGAATGCTCGCAAAATAAACATACCAGGTCGTAGTTTATCACGTTCTCTCCTTTGATCATCACATCATGATCAGCCGCACAATGTCGCTGCACACATTTCACTAATGGAAACGTCACACGTCGCACTTTTACGGTTGTACACCTGGTCCAGAGCGCGGCCAGATAACACGGTAAGACACTTTTGCGAAAAGCAAAGACACGGAAATTCACGATCACTTTATTGCACGACCGGCTACTCGTACATCCGATCGGTGACTGGAGTGTTGGACTCGCACGGTACTGCTACTCTCCTCAAGCCTTTCTCCGTCTCTCTTTCTTCCTTTGCATCGTGGAACACTGATGACCGCCCCTCTACTTTTCTGTCCCTCTCCAAGGATTATTATTCCTTTTGCCAAAGGAACACCCCGAAAATTGCTCAACGACCGATCAGCGATCCCATAGGTGCTAGGTAAATCGCGGATAACGCACGCCTTGGTTGTACCGTGGGAATCGAAGGTTTCTGCATGTGGAGTTTGGTTCTTGAAAATAATGAAACATCAAGTGTGAAACGGGAGTGAAACTTTTTTTTTGAAAGATTGAATTCGTATTAAAGAATTTTAAGGAGTTTATAGGAAAGAGAGGTAAGACTGGTAGAGGAAATTTGTGACTGTAATAATAATGATTAATGTAATATCTATATAACTATTTGAATATTAGAAATATTCTTAGATCAAAATTTTCAACATAGAAATTGATTTTTAAAAGCTTTGAGTTTGGAAAGAGATAATAGAATTGATATAGCTGAATGAGGTAAGTTTTTAGAGATATTAGATATATCATTAAATCAAAATTTTCCTTTTATTGGTGTGATTAAATTTATTTTCAAGAATTTTTGGAAGAATTGAAAAGAATTAAGAAGAAACTAATATGTACAACTAGTGAAAGAGATTTAAGGTAAGTTTTTATATTTAGAATGATTTTTGATTTAGATTTTAGATTTAGAATGATTTTGATATTTGTCTTTTGAAGAAAAATTGAATTTATTTTTTTGGAAAATCTTATGGATATTGCAGATTTAAAAAAGTTAAAAAAAGATTCCTTCTAATCTCTAAATATTATTTAAATTTAATTAAAATTGTTGAAAATTTTCATCATTTTAACTAAAATTCCATTTTTTTAAACTAAATATATATATACTATAAAATCAAGAGAAAATCGGTTGATTAAACAAGTACTTATAATATATGTTGTTTGAAATATTAAAAATTGTTAATTTTAAAATAAACAAAAGAATTAATTTACTTATAGTAAATTTTTAATTGCGGTAATAAATTTGATAAAATACAAATAATAGAGAAACCAAATGGTTTTGTCAATGTACATTATGTTTAAATGTGTTAATATAAGAGCTTAACATAGCTTTTGCGTAATGATGATCTAAACATCGAAGGAGGCAAAGTTGCGTGTACGTGATAGGAATGGTAAAAAGTATGAAAAGATCCGAGTTGTGGTCAGATCGAAAGGAGGATTCCTGCTTCTCTTCGCATTTCTCTCGAGGTCGCTTTAGAAAGGCCGGAGAAACGTCTGGAAGGCCGTGTACGAACACGCGGTCTCGCATCGCTATCGCTGACGTACCGTTCCACGAGGATTTTCCAGAGGTACCAGTGCACATCGGTTTCGTTCGCTTAATTTTTCTGTATATTTACCTCGAATCCATCATTAGTGAATATTTAGTTCCAATCCAAATCGTTATACAATAAAAATTGAACAAAATTGCTCGAAAATCGGGATCTAAATACTTATAGTGGTATTAAAAATTAATTAGATATAAAAATTTTTACAAATATATGAAAATTTAAAATGAATACACAATAATTTTTAGATGGATTATTTTAGAGATGAATTGTGCACAATCCAATGAAAATTATGAAAATGAAAATTAAAAAAAAAATATTAGAAAGTTGTCGTAAATATAAAATATACAATGCTGATTATAATCTTTAATATTTATTGAATATCTATTGTAATAGATCATACGTTACCTCTATATTGTAATAAATAAATATTGAAAATTTTGATCATGCAATTTTATGTACAAATAATTGCAAATAAAGTAGTAATCATGAAAACCACTTTGCAATTCTCTCGAAAATCGCGACACACAGCATAGATACTAATTCGTTAGAAAATGATTTATGCACACATTATAAGGGAACGAGCGAAAGTTCCGCACGTTTGACTGTCCACTTTTTGCAAATTCATCTTAGCTAGATACAGAGGAAAGTTAGAAAACAGTGGTCGTGGGAAATCATGTGTAGATTAACGTATAGAAATCGCAATAGAACTGTATGTCGTTGCTTTGTGCATTCGCCAGAGAAACAATCTGCCCGGATGCAATAACCTGACCTTTTGCATCGGCATTGCGTTCCTTTTAGAGGTTATGTGGCACAACTTAGTGTTTGCCTCCACGTGTTCTACTTAAATTACTTGATATTTTATAACGAAGATTTGTAATCGAGAAAAAATTACTTTTTGTATCATTTATATTTTTATGAAAACTAATTCTTTTTGTAAATTTTTTTTTACATTAATCGAAATTTATTATCATACAGGATAGGCCGTGTATAATAAACCGTAATGCGATTTGGCTCATAAATTATTCATTATATGAATAAATATTTCATAAAAAAAGTTACATGGTATAGAAGGGAACACGAATAATGTGATGTTATTAATTTTTTATTACTTTCTAGAAAAAATAACAAAAATTGACAAGAATAATTTTTAATCTGTCGTTTTATCGAAATGTGAATTTTGTGTGAGACGAGAGTTTTGTTAGACCAAGATCAACTATGAAATAACGATTGTTTCTAAGAAAATAAAAAAAAAAATATTTATGCAAATTGATACAAGCGGATATATGCAAGATACTATGCAAGAAGAAGCGCGGGTTAATACGATTCGTCGCGGAAGTTGTAAAAGATCGGTGGAATTTCTCATTTTTTCGCCATGAAAAGTCAAAGAAACCGCGAAGCGCGTAACGAAAACCACGACCCAGTAATTATGTACGCTTGCAAAATTTTAATTTACATAACGACTGGCGTACGAAACATGATGAAGTAATTACACTTGTTCAAGACAAAAGAGAATCTCAGTGGAAGTTTCGTCATCGGTCTTCGTTCGTCAATTGGACTTTCGATAATTTTATGGGAATATCTTTCTATTTTCATTAATTAAAATAGATTTCTTTCTTTTAGCATTTCTTTATTTTTTTAAAATTTTAAGTTTCACGTATTCTTTAATTTTTAGTTAAATAATAAAGATAGATAGAGCAGATCAAGTTTCATACGTAGGTGTTATCTTCGATAGAAATTAAATATTCTTTTGTTTCATTTTTTATAGATTGTATATAATAAAGTAATGAAACTTTTACATGGATCAATTAAAAAAGCGATTAAAGTTGATTAATTTAATAGTTTTTTGAAAATCATTCATTATTAAAATTAAAAATCTCGTAGAAAGTAAAATTGATCAATTTGCCTTACTTTCTATTGTACTTTATTATTTAATGATAAAAATCATTATTATCGTAAATTTATCATATATCTATCGATACTTAATACCAATTATTTTTTCCAGTAAAACGCGTTCTCCCGTTTGCATATACCGTAAAAATTCGAAAATGGAAGGGAAATCGTGAGATATATTTGTTGATCGGAACGAAATCGATCTCTGATTATAGATAGATATTATATTCTAGCAAATGCAATGGACCGACACAGGTACACTTTAAAAGTAAATTGGTCTTTGATTCGCTTTTACTTTCATTCTAGCGTGGATTAAACAGCTATTTTTCATCTTAGGATCGAAATTGTCCACTTCCTCTTTGGATGCTTCCGGATGAATCTACGGTCCAATGAAACGAAACGTTGAAACATTGTCGTTTGAATCATATTCATTTTTTTTTTTTTTTTCCCTATAGAAAGCAAAGTTTAAGATTTAATAGGGATTTAAAAGATTTAAGTATTTTTAAAGTTTGGATTGCGATATTCTTTAATGTTAAACATTTTTATGGGAATTCTGAGAGATACTATAAAATTATTTCATATCTTAAATGTTAATATGCGTAACGCAATTATTCAAATTTATTGACTATGAAGAGTTGAAAGTATATATTTTCCATTGGCCTAACGCCAAAATATTCAAAAATTTTAAGAAGAGAAAGATAATTATTATTATTATTATTTTTTACAATCTTTTTGAAATCTTCTTCTTTACGTTACTACTTCTACTTAATCACATTATGAATCTTAAACTTTTATATCTCAATTTTATTTAAATAAATGAAAAGGTATGTAGAAAAATTTTAGAAATTTTCAAACAATTAAAAAAAATATATTTATTAGGTTATATACAATAGAAATTAATAAAAAATTATCGAATCGGATACATATTTATATAAAACTATCCTAATATAATCCTTTAATACATAAAAGTCTTTTTTTAAAATTATTTTTTTTTAAATATATTCGTATCATAAATATAATTAATATAATTAAAAAAATATATATATATTTTCTATCTTTTACAATTAATTTATTGTTTTATAATTTCGCAATCGCGTAATTAAAATTTTTTTTCCGAATAAAATTTACAAGGGAAATAGCACTGTCGCAAGAAAAGGCAAAGAATGCGATCCCATGTTGCATCGTGCAGGATCTTACGCGATATCTTTACCCGTGTACGCAAAAACAAATTCAGTTAACAGCTATTTCCAATAATTGAAATCTAAAAGAATTCAGTCACACATTCGATCTTCCTGCAGCTGTACTTTATGGAAATTATTTTTTACCTTTGCTTGCACAACACTCGTTTAAATCGATCTGTCATTTTCCTTAACGATGAATAAGCTTCTAAACAAGATCGATCAACTTCTAATCGAATTTTCTAAAACGTAGAAAGTGTATCTTTAACATCTCGCATCCTTATTATATTTAATAATCTCGTATAGCAGAGTAATATAATAATACAATTAATCATACTATAACACGAAATAACGATGTTCGAATCTCTATGTTACGTATAAAGTTTTACGATATAGAAATTGATCTGATATTTATATCGAATATAAATATGTACAAGTCATCTAAAGAAAAAGAATATAAATGATTAACGGTCTTAATCCAGAAGATGTACATACAAACTCAATTAATAATAAACAAAATCAACTTACGAATTTCTAATTTAACCTCAAATTGCAATTACACAATTTACAATCCTTCGTTTAGAAATTTATCATGACGTTATGATTATCCGTCAAGAATTATTTTGTTATTATCTCATTCGGTCGAAACGTGTGCACGATCGAAATAAAAAGAAACACCGTTGACCGGAAAATCCAGTTTCTATGATGTTTCCTTTCCTTTTTTTATCCGCGAATCGCGATAACACGTGATAAAATGCAACACCAGTGGAGCGGAAAGAGGAAACCAGGGTAGCCATGTCCCGACACAGTAAACGATCTATTTTTATATATATCCATTAGATCCATGAAATATCTGTCTATAAGATCGAATGAGAAAAATTAATTGATTGTAATCCGATCGTTTTATTCCTCCTTTTAGGGAAGTATTCTAGCAAGAAAGGAAATCATTACTTTGAAATTCTCTCATTATTTATATTTATTACACGTTTCAAAGCATTACCAGCTTTTATTTCGATTCAATTTAGAATGTACAAATATCCTGTTGGCTTAGTTTCGTATTGAACGTATTGAAATAAAGCGCTTAATGTTTTCGAATCCTAACCTATAAGATTATAATAAACGTAATTTATGATAGATTTTCCTAATCTTTTTTTGAATCCTACTATATACATATTGTATATAGTACTATATACATATTGTATAGTAGTCATTCAAATTTTAAGAAAAGAAAAAATAAAACTATTTCTAATTTGAATTTCTTTAATAAATTTTATATTATATTTTTGATTATCGGTGATGATATATTTAATCGCCTGTAATTTGGAACGAATGTTCTTACAAACAAATTATTTTTTATGGAAATTTTATGAAAAATTTTCGTGTAAATCGCATATTTAAATTATTTTGTTAAAATTACAATTTTATTATTTCTAAGAAATCATAATTTTCAATAAAACAATGTTTTATAATTTTAGTATCACATTGTATTTTAAATTCAATTTATTTCCGACTTCTTGGACTCTAATTTTACTTTTAAATTCGCTAAATTATTCAACAAAGCGTATTCCACTTAATAAAAGGCAGCCAATCCAATATAATGCATCGCGCGAACGTCTTAATAATTGCATTTTACAAAGTTCATGCGTCGTTTAATTGTATTCATTCGAGAAAATAATTATATTTCACAGTTATACTTCATTGATCAAATTTCGCCAAAATACCCGGCGAAAAAAGGCTTGTTCGCATCATTTTGATTGAAGCAGTTGAATGGAAAATTTCATTGCATCAATTTTATTGGCGACGGTACAATGATATTAGAAGGGCGAATATAAATTCTCTTTACAAAAGAACAGATCGATTACCGAGTATAATCAATAGGCACGTCACGATCGTCGACAATTTCTTTTCAACAATTCATTTATTTAACGATAGGCAGAGGTGAAAGTATATAAAGAACACGTGACAAACGGGGAGAGAGTCATGAATTCTTATTGGGAAAAGTTAATGACCGCTCCTCCACCTGATACCACCGACTTTCGTTGCACGGATTCTGCCCGTTGATCTTTTTTGATTTTCAATCGAGAGGTTCATCGACCGACTACAAGTGAGCCATTCACTTGTCAATACCCGTGACAGCGTTCATTTCTCGCGTGAGCTATTATCGATCCTGAATTTTAAAAGTTGTTCGAAAGTGGCTCGTGTATGTAATTTCCTGTGAAACTGATTGTTAAATCAATCATCACGAGGAAGTAATCCATAAAAATTCTCAACTATGATCGTACCTTGTCCTTCCACCTTACACATCTTTAATTTTCACTTCTGTTCGAGTTGTATTCTATACGACTGAAATAAAACGATAAAATATAGTAACCAACTTCAGTGTAATTAATAATATGAATTTTATAATTTAGATATATACTTAAATATCGAAGCTGCATCGCATCCAGTGAAATTAAACGATGGAGGAGTATCAGGATCACATGTATTACTAAGAGGATTAAATATTAAATGTTGCAGACGGTGTAGAAGCAGGTGCCTGAAAATAGGAATCAATTTATTAGATTAATTGAATTAGAGTTAAGCAGTTAATAAATTGAGATAATTACGTCGAAGTAATTATAATTATTCTTCTCACAAGAATTAAAAAATTCTGACGATATTTAGATGCTGCAAAAGATTAAATATATGTTTGAAGGAATTTCAAGATGAAAAAGATAACGACGAAGATTGTGCAATTTTATTTATTTTACTTTATTCATTAATTCTAACGAGTTAAATGCCGTTTCTTTCTCAAATAATTTTGATTATACCCCTACTCTACGCTCCACATATGAAATGTAAGCTCATCGCGAATGCAATTACTTGCAAATGAGGATCGCCTGTTTCAGAATCGTGCAAACAGGATAACAACGAATCGATGTTCACTTTTTCTCGGGTCATCGATTTATCTCGATTTACCTTGTTAACAGGATACAATCGTTCTGCAATACAAAACCGTTATAAAGCATATCATTTGATTTTAATAAATAATTATTATTCTCTTTTCACCAATTGCATTTCTGGAAATGGAATATTAAATCGATATAATTTTACTGTTTAATAAGGTAATAATATTTGCACGCAACATATATATATCCTGCATATTTAATAAAATATTTAATCCTAAAAGCACAATTAGTTTTTCATTTTATTTTGGAGTTATTATAATTATTATAATTTAACATTTTCTTCTCGACATTTTTTAAGACTAATATCTCGACTCTTATTCTGACTATCTTGATTCATATTGTATTATTGATGAAACTCAATTTCATCTTTGTCAATGTTTTTAAAAAATATTACAAATGCCAAAATAAAAATTTATTGGATTGACATTTATGCATATATTATCGATAAATAATATTCGCAATGTTCGAATCGAAAGTTTTCCTCTTAGCATTCTCCAGGAAATAGGTGTTTAAGCGAATCAACGTGAGAAAGAATGTCTCGCGAACGATTTAAGTTTCGAAATATGCGCAAAGTATCGCTCAGCGTGTAAAATGAGAAATATGCGCAAACATTTTTGCAAACGAGTTAACAAGGTTACGTTGAACAGGGGAAAGTTTTTCCATCGAGAGGACTTGTTCATAGATGCAAACGCGAATTATTCGATGAATTATTCTATACCGGATGTTAATAATTATTTTTTTTTACCCAGAATTATTTTCAATAATTTTTTCGTAAGTTGATAAATTATGATCCGAATTTAAAATTTTTCATGGAAAAAAAAAAAGAAAATTTTTACTTTTGATTTACCTCTGATCCACTAATTTAAAAACCATTTAAGAACCATTTATTGGTAAATTTATTGTTTGAAATTATTTTTGATATTTGATATTTATTTGATTTGATATTTTTGATATTAAAAAATAATATACATTATTATAATTCAAAGTATTAGTTTTCTCGATTTACATCATATTTATATTCCGAAAGAATAATAGCTTCATCTTCAGATTTCGAAATATTTCCTCTTTACTTTCATTCCTTTCAACATTTAAGACACGATCCCATTTTAATTAATGTGCGATAGGTTTCACCGTTGGATTTACTTTCGGCGCCGCAAATTAATTTGTTGGTCGGTTTAATGGCGGAACCGATCCTCGTTGCGAAAACTAACTTCCATCCGGATATTTTTGCTAACGCGATCACGTCCGCGGTTGCGATTTGTCGGCCGAGGAATGCGTTAATTGCTCTGGTGTAGAAAGTCACGGTTAATCGGGGACGTCTGTGATAAATTGTTGAAAATAAAATAAAATCGTAACCTCTTGAAAATATCATGATTTAGAACTTGGAAATTAAATCGGATCTAATTTTATTTTTACGTGTGTATATATGATGTACTTCGTTATTTTTCCTTATCAAATTTATATTAACTCGGATCATATCTAATTAACTTAACTTATATATTTCATTTATCAGAAAATAATTAATGAAATAGACTCAATTGCAATTATTTGGTTTTTAAAAATTTAAATTGATCCATCTCATTTTTGAGTGATTCAATTACTATTTAGAAAATTAAAGTCTCTGAATATCCTTAAGATTCAATAAAAAATCTCCAATATTTTTTTTTTGATTCTTCAGACTTATTTCTCAACTTTAATTATTTGGAAAATTTATAAATATTTCTAAGAAAAGGATTTCTTCTCAAAAGATTTTTATCATTTGATTTCTTCATAATTCATAACTTTCAGAAATAAATCCTATTAAAATTTGAGATCCGAGAAAAATTTCCAATAAAATTTTATATTCTTCATTTTCATATTTTTGCAGCTTTTCTATCCTGTTTCGACCACAATTTGTCAGAAACTAATCACTAATTAGAAAATTGGAATTCCCAGAATCTCTAAGAACGAAGATCTCCAGCAAACAATCTGAAACTTGGCAAACCACTAGTAGGTGAAAACATTTCCTAACTCGTTACACATCTCGTGGTTCCAGGGAAAACAGTTTCATCCAAGCTTGAACGCTCCACCTCCCACAACGCTGCAACCCCAAGTGGTTAACTCCCCATCGAGCAATCTCACGAACGATTTGATCCGCTTGCCAAGCAGATTTCGAGATCAACTTTCGATCGTGACGTTTATTCAGGAGATCTCATGATAAAATCCATTGTGATAACATTAACAGATTGCCGAATGTCATCGTGATGATCATTTTCGAAGGGTTTTTGGGTGGCTGTCCACTAACGACAAGCAAATAATTTCGAATAGCCTTCAGAGTAAGTAATGTTTCTCTTGAAGCTGCTTGTAGAATGGAAGACCATTAAATTTTTATGTGGAAAAAGATTCTGTTGGACCGAATCAAAAGTTGAGTAATATTAACTAACTTTTATTGATATTGCAGGATTATACTTATATTTGATATACATGATTATGAAGTTGTATCAAGTGGATAAACAGTCAGGATTATTACTTGAAAGTATTAAAAAGGTTTTCCTCCACTAACAACTAGTGGATCTTGCATCACAATAATGCTTATATAACACTATTATTGAGAAAACTTTGACTAATGAAAAGGTAAGATAGAAATAAGTAAGCTGAGGATATATAAACTAAAATTTATATAAATATTATTAAAGAAACTTTCTTATTCTTCAAATATGAAAATTGTATAAATACATAAACATCTGAGTCTGAACCTCAATGACTCTTTTCCAAAAATAAAAATAAAAATAGTGAAAGGAAGGTATTTTAATGGAATTAATGACATCTAGAATGATTTCTTTTTCAGGGATATGCAAGACTGTCATACACGTAACATTGAGAGAGTATTTTGAATCTGAAACGAGAATGCGACAATCAGCAATGGAGTAATCTTAGCACAAAAAGTTCACCAACTTTATCGTCGTATCTCATACACGGAATGCGAAAACACGATGCAAGATAGAAGAGAGGTTTTGTCCTGTTGAAAATGTTTCCTTGATCGAGGCACGAGCCGACGTGCACGACCTCTCTTCATCTCTCTCCTCGTCCATGTTGAACCAACACGACCAGATCGCCTTGGCCGAGCAGGAAAACAGTCTGATCTCATCTTGTAAATATGAACGTTACTTCTCTCGTTGCCTCTCTCGAGGAACAAGCGCCAAATGGCGGAGATTTTATGGAAATGGCACAAATGGTTCTTCCATACGGGAAGAAACAACGATTTAGAATCCCATCGATTTCCATTATACTCGATTCTGTATAGTCGATCGTTCGAGAGAGTCGAGAGACGAACGGAAGTATTAGAGGCGGAAGTTCGAAGCCTTGGAGAAATAGAGGTTGTAACCAGAGGGATCAAAATATTGTACGTTGGTTGATGAAGGTTTTACAGCCTGTAATGCGAGATCGTGAATGCAGTATCCTTAGTGAAAAATGTTTCTTTCTTTTTTAAAATTGGATTGAATCGTGTATATAGAATTTTATTTCTGGCATATATAAAATTATAAAATTTTATTATTTTTATAATAAAATGAATATATTGATAAATATCTAGTTAGAAATTAAGGCAGTGAGAAAAAATTAGATAGGTGAATTCTTTGTAAAATTATATCAATTCTCTGTAAGAATAATAATGGAAGAAGAAAATTTATAATTTTTATAAAGGTAATAGTATGTTTACTAAATGAAAAAAAAAATTATTTTAAACGATGAATACAAATCAATTAAATTTTCAGATAAATTTTTATTAATTTTCATTATAATTTGTTATTTAAAATTTCTATGTAAGAAAAGATATATTTATGCGTTGCATAAAATGTTATTATTTGATATATACTTTGTCATTACATGAAATATCTTTTGCTAAAGAAAATATACAATAAAGCACTGTAAAAGAGTATATAGCAATTGAAATGCTGTGCAGAGATGTTTCTAAGATTTCACCGAGAAATTATTTGGTCGTTGACCCAATAGAAGTGAAATAGAAATAAGTGTGTGTCATTGAACCTCTGTGCAAGAATTATGTCATGTCTTCTCTAGCGAGAAATAAATTATTACCAATAAATATATAAATATTCACACTTTTTAATTTTTTTGAGAGAAACGAAAAATTTATAAGAAAATTAATCAAAAGTCACATAAAAGTTTACCTTCAAGTAAATTAAAATAATAAAACTATAAATACACGTGTTTCTTTTTTTCTTTTAAGGTTCGAATTATCATATTATTCATTTCTATTCATTAGATACCCATATCTTTTATTTTATATCTCCGTTCATTATTTTGTAATTAGTTTGCAACAGCATCTTTAATTATATTTTTTATATTAATTTATTAGTAAGTAAATTAGCTATTAAATTATTGACATGATCTGAAATTTTTTGTAATATAATGAATCCATCGCCGAAGCATGGATACTTTTATAAATAAAAAAAAAAAAAAATAAAAAAGTAATTTACATTTAGAAGCTTAGAAAATTAGCAATTATAAAGATCATAGTCAAGTGAGGCCTTGAAAATTTCATTCTAACTAACAATAGAAAGTTATTAGCAATCCTAGAATATGACTCAAACATCTCAGAAATTCAAAAGAACAATCTGTATGTATTTCATTTATTATCACCATTTTTATGTAAATTCATATCTATTATTTATATGCATCATTTTATGTATGTAACTAAAGAAATGGGATCTAAAATAAAATTTATTTCACTTTCCATTATTCTATAATACCTACTTTATATATGTATATTCTATAGATGGTGATGCAACTAAGAAATTATTTAAACGTTCAAATTTGCAAATTGACATTTCAAGCACGAAGGATTAAATCGAACAAAAAGAGGAGAAAAAAAAAAAAAAAAAAAAAAAA